CTACTAGATATGGCTGAACCCAAAAAAATCTTACTAGGGACTAGACCCGATAAACTTTCCAATTGATCTATCCGCAAAAGAGTAACCTAACTCCTTATTTTTATTTTTATTAATGATCTATTCTAAAATTATAAAGAAGTAAATTTTTTATCTTTTTTTGTAGGGGGTAATCTTCGAGTCACTTATAGTAAGCCACTTCACACGCGAGTAACATAGCCTATAATTTACGAGGGTGAAGTAGCGGGAAAACAACTAGTAAGTGATAATTTTTATTGACTGCATATCACAATATATCTTGCCTAATAAATATAAGCATAAAATATACAAAGCTCAATAAACATTTGAGCACAGAGGTCGTCTCTTACAAAAATTAAGTAACGATTGCTCCACACGAAAATGACACAGACGTATCTAATTCATTCGTGTAATTATTACAGGGATCGTGATTATTTTTTTATTGCCCATTCCGTTTTCTGACGCAACTAATGTTAGCCCATTAGTTATTTCTAAATATCTTTTGTTTTACACTTCGATATTAGCACTAACGCGAGAAAAACTTCACAAAAAAGAGAAAGTAGGCCTTTACCATGAATCTCAGTGACAACTAGCTACTAAACTTATTAGTAATCTCTATAATTACTAACAAGTAACAGATGAACTATTTCATAAGCTTAATTCATAATCACGTAAGAGTACTTGTGTCTTATAAGGCAAGCGTATATATTTGAACTTTACTGTCTAATAAATACTCGTTCTATACTATAGGCTATCTATAAATCACGGCACTTGTAGAGGTGCGGGAGAGTGAGAAGTTTCTAGCCAAATTCTTTCGGATTTTTTTAAATTACAGTATTAAATTTTAATTTTTTAAAACCTATTATTAATGACCTACATATTATTAATATATATTATTAATTTCGTAATATCCATTATTTTTAATTGTGTAATTTAACTTTGATATTTATATTGACTCATGACTACACAAATGGAAAAGTATTCATATGTAATACTTAATCGCAATCCAAAGAACACTAAGCGCAATGCGAAGTGGGCGTGCGTTGAAGTCTTTTGTAGAGCAATTGCGCTCGCGCAGCTTACGACACGCAAGCGTATTTTAAGAATTTCTTCATTGTTTTATTATTTCTATAGTCGTTTCAAGATATTAATAAATAAATATACTCGGTTTTTATTGATTAAGTATTATAACTTGATGAAGTTTATGGCTATGAATATATGTATAAGTACACAAGCAAAATGGTAATCGCAATCCACTTTCTTCCGGTCAAAGCGAGTCAAGGCTTGGTAGTATCTAATTAGAGTGCGGAGTACGTTTGTAACTCACAATACACATGTATATTTCCATTTCCACCTCTATTTCTATGCTATTAAGAAGTAAGAGTTTTGCCCCGCAAATACATGGCTGTTTACGATTTCACAGCTCTCTCACAAATTATGTAGCATCATTAAATTGTCTGTAACGAAAACTATATAAACTATGTCGATGTATATACAACTGTATGCCCATAAAATGTTTTTGGTGATTCAAAACAACAAAGCCTACTAATACAATCTTCAATCGAATAGTTAGTATTGTATACGAAATGGATACGTCCATAACAATAACATACATATTTCTTGTGAGATTAATGTATAAATAACAATATCCTTTGCATTAAAAAAATGCTAAGATTATAAAAAAATGTATTTATATTTCATAACAGCACGTAATCTTTAACATTCCTTGAATCTAATTAAGCTTCATAAGTATTGCACGTTAAACAGGTCTTCTGCGTAACCGATAATTAGCTAATACTTTATTAATTGCTTTTGTCATAATTTGCTCAGTACAGAGTAAGAATGGAGCGGCCCTCTGACGGAACCGGATATATACGTGGCCTTAGTAATACGCTACGATGATTTTTTACTTGAATGTTTGTATATTTAAGGCTCTCACATTAAACAATCCAAATTCTTTAATAGCGATTTAAGTTCATAAACAATTCCGTACTTAATAAGTATACGAACAATGACCTTGCTAGTTCTGACACTTTTTCGATTACAGAAAAAAATGGAAAATCTTGTTCATGCTCAATGTCGTAGAAAGCTTATAAATTAACACGGCAATAAAAAATAGTCTTAATGCAGTTAACTTTACTACTTTTTATGATTGATTTGGTCATATTTTGTATAGTTTCTGAAGACCTTCCTCCTTTGGGTACTTTTTATTGCATTCTGCACCTTTTCGTCTACAAGAATCAAAAGATACTAATTAAATTTAGAGGTCAAATGATACCGAAGAAACTACTCTTTGTTTTCCCATTCTCTCATAGCAAAACCGCCTACATTCACTTTTGTTTACGATTACAAACACGAACGCAAAATGGATTCCAAAGCGAAATTCGCAAACTTTACCAAAGTGTTAACCAATCTTTACAAATACATAAATATAAGAGACGATGGTTCCAAAAGTATTTTGGTGTTGATATATCATGCGTTTCACTGAAGCCTATTTGGGAACTTTCGAAAGAGAAACGACGTAATGATTATCTATAGTCTTACGATTGTAACGAGACATCGTCGGAGACTTTTACAATCACAAATATAATACCTAACTTTTATAGATTATGCAAACACCTATTACAGCTTACATTCGCAGCTGATCGTGTGTAGCCTTTGACCAGGAAAGGTCAGATGTTAAATTTGTTAAAATTTATAGTTTTGTGTCTTACCGGTTCTAATGGTGGTTTTGTTGGGTAAATAATCCTAAGGTTGGTATGTCACTTCACTATATGTAGCGTATATTTGTCACTCGCGGGGTCGCGTGCGTGGGCATCGTGCGGTGCGGTGCGGTCGGTCGTGTGGCCGCGCGCTCACTGCGCCCGCGCCGTTTCGTGAGCTCTACGACCCCTCACTTTCGGTCTCGCGCTGACTAAGCCGTATGCCTGCTTACTAATTCGGCAGGTTTTCCCAAATCTTAGGCCCTTCGCACACAGAGCTACTTAAAAGTGTCGAATCTTATCAGCTGGTTGTCCCCTGAAGCTTTCAGAGGGGTCAGTCTCAATACTACGCAGATATCCCTAACCACACAAAATTAAATTTTCATATATATCAACAATAATCTTAAATGAATAAGACTTAAAAATCCACCAGCCCTACCGGTAGATTTTTTAGCCTTCCGGAACTCGGAGTAAGTTGATATTATAATTTTTGGTGACCCATCCCGTGACCGACCCTTGCAAAAATTGCTCAACAACAACGATCGCGTGCCGTGACACTTATTCACTACGCTACTGAGCTACTCCCGCTACCATATAATGCACTGTAAAAACAATATATAAAAAAAAAAATGTAATAATAAGAAACCGATTAGAAATTATACAAACACACAAGATTCAACTAAGTTGAATAGTATGTGTTCTGATTAGAAACTGTTATCTTCTAAGAAGGTAACAGTCACATAAGCAGTTGATTAACAATTAAAAATCAGTAATTAGTAGCGATGATACGCAGTGACGCTGAAGAAACTCGATCGCAATTTCTAATAGCTCCATGTGAGAAAGGCCTTAATATTTTCATTTAATTTCAATTACCACGTTCCGTCAGTGATTTGAGGAGGTTAAACACCTTAGCAATTAATTTACACTACTATTATTAGTTAGTATTACGCACTAATAAGTCACTCTTAATAGCTGTAGCATTTACTATCACGCTTACTATAATGTTATACACGTATAAAGATTTTTTACTATAATTCATCTGTTGTTATGCATGTTATTATTTATATCTTCAAATTTACGATAAAACTAAGGTGTCATGGTATTTAATGTTCTTTAAATATATACCTAAGTATTTGGCGAGTACTTAGGTATATATTTAAAGCCTATAACTGTTTTCAAAGATTGTTAAGATGCATGTGCAATTTAATCAGAACAGTGGGGTGCACCCACTTGAAGCTAACAGTGCTACTATGAACAAAGATTAGCGTTGGAGTAAATTTACGCTGAGACTGCTCTCCGTATTAGTCAAAACTCATATTACAGAGACTTAACAAAGGTTAACCTAGTACGAGGTTCTACGGGAGTAATATTTGCTATTAGAAGGTAGTAGATTTGCTTATTCGCTGTGTAATATGAATATGGACTAATACTAAAATTGCAATTTTAGCGTAAATTTACTCTGACGTTTAACCTTGTTTATAAGTAGCACTGTAAGAATATAAGTTGATTTAACTCTTATAAGAACTTTAACTCAAACAAACATTCAAAGAAGTTAGAAACTGCTCCGTGTCTATAGCGGACTTAATTCTGAAAATTATGTAAAATATTATATTTGATAAATCTTGCATTCACAATGCTATACTGAAAAATATTCCTAATGAATAATACTTAGAAATCCCTGGCACTCTGAGATGGGACTCGAACCTCGAACTCGGGTGATTGCTCTAATCACTGAGCTTTTCATTGAGAAGAATTCGTCAGTCCTGTTAGGTCCTGGGCAGCTCAGTGATTTGAGCAGTCGACGGGGTTACTAAAGGTCATGGGTAGAAGTCCTATCTCAGAGTGCCAGGGACAGAACGGAGTTTTTAAACATTTTTCATTAAGAATAGTTAACTGAATGCTCATCTATTATAAACAAAAAAATCTTTATAAAATTCTCCTGCAATGAAAATTATTTCTACTAAATGGCAACCGCCTAAATGATACAGCAAATTTCGTCATCAATTACTGGTAGCCGTTATAATCAATGCGAAATTAAAACAGTATAGTTTTCAATATTATACTTTAATAAGATATTAAAGCTCAACAACCATTTGCTACAACATTATATGTTTTATAATATTTTAAATAGTTATGTCATGGACATGTACAAGAAACATTACAATAATAACAAGAACTAAAACAACGATTTTCTTATCTTCATAACAAGAAATTGTAGATTACAAAAAAGATACATTTATCTCTTTATAACCACTCCTTATGTTGTTTCTTTGGAATTAAATATCACTGGAGAAAACGTAAAGTGCTTCGTCGCGGCGGTCGCACTATATCTTCCTCGTCACTATCTAATGCTGGTTCATAGCTTCTATTCACAAACGCTCCTGTGGGACGACGTCTGGATGCATCCACCATCTAGAGAAAATAGTAATAACATACTTTAGTGCAAAAGAAAAATTCAATATGATAAACTTTATATTTTTGTTAATTTCCCTCCCAATATGAACTATTCATTCGATATACGAAATTTACTATTTTTGAGTCATTCGACTCTCAACTGGCTATTGGATTAAGGCGACTGACAGACTAAAATGGCAACTTTAAATTACAACCTATATTTTTTAGAGGCGTCGAGAAATTTTAGGTCGCGTAACTTCAGAAACTGACAAATATATGAAATAACATTCAACCTTCCTTGCACATTCGACAGAAGATCTGTCACATACTAATTCGTACTTCCATGAGACACTAGACGGAGGTTCCGTCAGATTTGCATCAATACTTATTCAGTTTTACGTAGACTTTGTCCCGAGTCCTATAGTCCAGGAGACACAAAATACGATAGCAACGTTAATTTATAGGTTTTCATTTCTATGTGCAACCAACAAAATATAATATTTCAAATTGGAACAAAAACAGAACGCAAGAGGTAGAAGTAAGAGCCAAGTCTTACACGATGATACAGTTTACTGTCTGTCTCTATGTACTGACACATATACAATGAAAAATAGCTATAAACAAACCGTCAAACCATTCTGTTATGCTCCAGCTATACATGAGGGATTAAAGAGATGTTTTCTCCCTTTCTAACCGAGGTACAGCTACCTGGCTTCTTTGCTCTTTTCATAATATCTTTATGGTACTAAATCATATTTTAGATGTTTCTCTGATTTAAATAAATGCACTATACAACTAATCAGTTGTTCTGGGTTCTTTAATAAAGTAGTATACGCGAAAGCATAAGATAAAAACGAGATGCAGTATTAAATGTTTGAAGGTCACTATATAAAAGTAACGGTGCGCATAGCCAACGCGCCGCCCACTATGTAAATTTACGACGAATTAGATCACATTCTTTGTGTACTGGGCTGTATCTATAGTACAGTGTTATGTAAGTACCTTATTATGATAGCAAACTCTTATCTATGTATAAACTAGAGTAAAAAAAAGTAAACTTAATACTAGTTGTAATTTTTTTTTCGCGTGCTACAATATGGAAGACAATTATTATTTTTTGATTGTTGAAAAATATTAACCACGTATTTTTTTTGCGTAATCATTAAATTACGGCGATACATTGAAAATTTGCATTAAAATGTCACATGACGTCACGCTTTTGTACATTTTCTCCAAAACTGTCGACGTAGAAGTCCCCACTCCTCAACTTTAACGCCTACTATCTAAACTAAGTAAAAAAAATACGTATCTAATATTTTTCTATTATCTGACTGACGGATTAAATAGATTTTTTTTTTGTACTCTTTCGTCATCGTTATAAATTAGTAAGATTATAAAACATATTTTTAATCGTTAATTTAAATTGTCCCGCGAAAATAATCAGTCACGTGACATTTCGAGCCGTGACGTCTCATTTCAATAAACATGAGTAACTGTAGACATTCGCAACGAAGACATTCATGTTTAGTTTATTGAACAGTGACGTCACACGATGCTCCGTCATGACCGCGCGCGTTTTGGTTCTTATAATACACAGATTATAAATCACAAGTAAATTTTGTAAAAATAAAGTATATGTTTGCACATACAGTTGCAGAAACGCTCATTAAATTTTTAATTAGTTTGAAGCGACATTATCGATACAAATCATATTCATTAGAGCTTAAAGTCGTTATTGAACCTCAATGGATGTTTCTGCAACTGGGAGTTAGAGACTTAAATTTGAATGAAGCGCATTCAGCAGATTAGCAGCATTTCCACAAGAAGATGCTATGTTTGCATCATATCTCTGAAACTATTAATCGCAGACATGCTGTTACTTCTACATTATTTGTTATATGTTAATGAACTGTCACTACATAGTATTTATAAAACAAAGTCGCTTTCTCTGTCCATATATGTGTATGCTTAAATCCTCAAAAATACGAAACGAATTTTGATGCGGTTTTTTTTCATAGACAGGGTGATTTTTATAATTTATATGCATAATATAAGACCACGCGGGCGAGGTCGCTGGCGAAAAGATAGTTTATTTATAAAAAAAAGACAACTAGACCATTGCGATGCACAACAGTCAGGAACATACAAGTAACTCACCGCAGCATCGGGCGCATTATAAAGGAACTCGTCTGTGGAGTCACGTCTCTGCATCTGTGAGCGTCTTCGCTCCGCCACTACCGTGTCCCTTCGCGTCTGTAGCGCGGCCAATGTCGCCTTGCGTGTAGCCAACGTGCCTCCCAGAGACGGCATGCGCGCTAATATATCTGTATACATATACGATAATGACTGGGTAAAAAGAAATTCTATTAAGTCCATCAGTCAGATAATAAAAAAATATTAGACACGTATTTTTTATTACTTCAATTAAACAGGATATAGCTTAGATATCAGGCATTAAAGTTGAAGAGTAGGTCACAGTTTTGTAGAAAATGTACAAAAGCGTGACGTCGTGTGATATTTTAACTCTATGTCAATTGAAAAAATACGTGTTTAATATTTTTCAACAATCTACATGATGGACAAACAAAGAATGTAATCATTATCCCTATTATATTATTGTAGTAAGTTTTTAACTCGCTCCGACACCGATTTTCATATTGACGAGTTTTAATTTTTTTAGCGCAATAAAATTATTTTCTTATAAAACTTAACATTTTGTTTCGATTCGCATTCTTGATGATTTCTAATGGAAGTAACACAAAAAATTATCGAGAAAAGAAATTGCGTTTACTTTCGGAATGCTTATACGACTCCAAAAAAAAACACATTCGAGAATGACACTACTTCTGATGCATGGATTATCTTCACGGATATGATTATAATAAAATTATAAAATTTTCCGACAGTTCGTACATGGAGAAACAAAGTAACAACATTTAGTACGGTACCTAAATATACAGGAAAAGTTTGTAGACAGTCCACAAAATTTCATACTGTATTCGTTACGGTAATAACATGCACGTTTTTTTAACCTTCTTTTTTAACCTGCTAACATCGGAGATAAAATACAATAAGGCTGTTTATAAAGACGTTGCCACTTATTATAAACCTACTGCAAACGGAGTTTATTAACCGTCTTTGACACTTTACATATAGTTTATTAGATTAAAGCAAAATAATCACTTAAGTGTTAATTTTAATATAAAATTTCTTCCTTAATATATTTTAATTACAATTCTAAATCGTAAGAAAAAAGATAACGAATTTTTCCTGTACGAAACAGATTCGCATAGCGACACACGGGGCAGGTCGAGGTGAGCTACATACACGTAGGATATAACTGACGTTTGATTTCATGTTCCATAACTTTTACCTGGATCAGGATTCTGCAATCGCATCTTGAACACGGCGTCTAGATTGACAGTGCTATGTTTACTGTCTTTGATCCGCTCTAAATTATGCAAGGTCTTTCTGTGCGCCACGGGGGCTTCGCTGACGCCCTCTTTATTTAAATCGTCCACGTTTAATTTCTGCATCTCTTTCGCAATATTTATCGCATTCTTTTCTATATGAGCATGTTGAGTAACTTCATCGGTCTGTTATAATTGAAATAGTGAATGACATAACTATATAATTAAAATAACCTTATGATTAAAATTTTAATAATTATAAGAACACGATAAACTGTAAGCGCGTTAGGCCGACGATTCTGAGGTAAGTAACTTTCTGCAGTCGTTAACAGCAATCTGGGGTGCGACCACCTAACTCTCTAGCCACAACTATAGTCATAGAATACGACAATTTAGCGAATATTATGACGATATTTCGTTTCATTTTACTACTTTGACATATCTTTTGATGGATAAATTTGAAATAAATGACTAAGTTAGAAAGCCTGCTGTCAAATCCATATTCATCATTCTTTATCAATCATTCATCTTTATTAAAGTGTATTTCAAAGTTGTAAAATGAAACGAAATAGCGATATAACATCGCTAAGATGTCGTATCCTATAGCTAGAGTTATAGATAGAGGAGAGCGGTCGTTCTGCTGTGTTTGGCCCTCATGGTTATGGACTGAAGGACTGTGCTCCATCAGAGGGCCGAGTTTTAACATTAACAAGTGGATGATGATAAATATTTATCCATTGGAAGTGGTTTCTAATAATACAAACTCAGATTAGAGCATTAAAATATAAATCAAAAGAGTAGCTCGGTGGCTTAGTGGTTAAACGCCGCGGCCCGCGATCTTTATTATTAAGCGATTTTAGCAAGGGTATTATATCGAACTGCACTGTGCTTCAGAAGGCATATTAAGCCGTTGGTCCCAAATCCATTTGCAGTCGTTAATACTCTCCAAACCACATTGGCCCATTCTCCTTAACCATCCATAAGGTTGACCTGAACACCTGCAGTGGAGGCATAAAAGGGCTGATGATGATGATGACCAAAATATTGACAGTCAAAACTATGATCGAAATATCTTACTAGTCAAAACGATCAATAGTTTCTCAGAATAAAACTATTATTAGTTGTAATAAGCGTAAGCTAGGTATTATCAGAGAAAATATATACTACGTAAACTATTACTAAAATATGTCAAATCTTACCGTCTTGGTGAAGTACCAGTTCAGTTTAACAGTGGCCAATAAGTGACAAAGAGTGCCAATACGATGGAACAGCATCGCGGTAAACTGAATCAGCATTACCGATCCAAAGAATATCAAGAACACTGAGCCGATCGGTTCCAACATCAAATAATCACTCTCGATATGCACCTAGGGTGGTATACAAATGCTAAGATAATAAAATCGCCCGAAACTTTGCAGTATATAAAGAATAAATAATAAAAAGCACCTTAATAAATACGAGACTGAATATTATTATTCAGATTCCTAACTAAATACAATAGTTAAATTCTTTATATTGGTCAGACCTAGTTCCGAGATCTCTTTGATTCGAATAATATTCGAATTATAGGCAAAAGTGCGTCAAAAACTATTTTGAATCGATTACTCGCAATTCATAACGATTATATTTTATTGTTTACGATTCATGACGACAATGCAACATTCAATTTTAAAATGTAATGGAGCTGATCTGATGACGAAGCTGGAAGGTAGAGATGGGATCTCAATAATTAATGACTGTCTACTTCCTCTTCTAACTTCATCTATATAGTTTGGGCTAGTATTATTTGTCTAATTTTTTTATTATTTTGAAGTCTTTTGATTACAACTATTCAGATTATTTAAATATTTGTAATGTTTTATGGGTACAGATTAAAATTGACTGGAGAAATTTTACATATTGTGGTAACCTGATTACCGTGTGTCTACAATCTTGTAAAGATGATGATTTTTAGTTTATTAATATCTTTATCGTCATGTATAGTCTATGAAACTTGGCAATTTAATAAATATTGACTCACAATATTATTGTCATCGTCGTAAACAATAGAATAATGTTGTCCCAATGGCCACTTGAGATGCAGCTGATCCTGGTTGAGCTGAAGCAGGAATATTACCAGCACAAATAGCGCGTTCAACATAACGAATGCAAATACCATTTTGTCGCGCAAATTCTTCAAGTCGGTTTTGATACGTTCCTAAAAATATAAGAGAACTAATAAACAAATTATAATAATCACTATGTTCTTAGTAAATTAAGTTTTAAATAGAAAATAGAATGTCAAATTCAGTACTGAAAATCAAACATTTCAATTGGAATATCATAAAATTTTCCTTTAGTTTAATTTTGGCCTAATAAAGGATGTGAAATACATATATTTCAATATAAATGGTTATTATTTTTAATGAAAAATGCCTAAAAAATCGATATAATACCGTTTTGAATAGATAACCTTTAGTTTTTCATTAAAAATATTTATAAATATAACATTGTAAATGCTAAATTGACCAAATAAGTAATTTCAAATTACCATCAATTAAATAAAATATCTACTCTTTTTCATTCGCAATATTCACTAATTTTTTACTTTGTAAAAATTTTTGAATATTGTTTGTATATACATACTTGTTCCTCTTTATTCTCGTCAATGGGCCGCAAGTATGTGTCTATTAAGTCCTTCCAGAATTCTGTCTCGGCGGTTGTCAAAAAGTCCACTTCGCCCTTTTGTAGGTTGGGATCTTCTATCCAATACGGATTGATAAGGGGATCTCGGACTTCCTGATTATCGAATAAAAACAAATTATTACATTTATAATATCTATGTACTTACAGATGTTTCAACACTCAATACTAGGTAGTACATTATTTGCTATCAGTATTGATATGACATGTAATCGACACAGACATTTGTGACACATTTCTACTGACAAAACTGAAATTAGTAGGAAATCTAAGGCCACGCTAATTTTGAATACGAATTTATTGTACGTAAACGTATGATCATGATCGTATGAATTGCGTATTCACATTGGTTTAATTTTATGTCAAATGTGCAGTCTTTGGTTGGGGCGTAATAACTAATAATATTTACTTCATAGTTATGCGTCAATGAAAAAAGAAACTTTAATATGTTCTTGAAACCGTGCGACCTAAACTAAACAAATACAGTATTTTTCTCCATTCATTTTTAATTTCCGACGTAAATGTATCACATTCCAATAAGTTCGGAGTGTTGAGTATTTCAATGGAGTAGTAGTTGTAGTTAAACAACTTTCGCAAAGGTCGCCCACAGGATGGGTGACCAAAAAATTATTATCTCGAGCTACTCCGTGCTACGTTAAGCCGTTGATCCGGCTGCATTTTGCAGTTAATAACTTCAATCCACATTTAGCCAGCGTGGAGGGTCATAGCCACCTTAACCATCCATAAGGAAGGCCTGAGCCCCTGTAATGGGGACATAAAAGGGCAGATAGATGATGATGATGAAGTCCGGATTTGTGTTCGGACGTCGGAACTTCGCGCATGTATACGTATGACTAACTCGGTTCCAGTGAGAATGTTGTAATAGTACTTATGTTACTGATAAGATAGGAATTTATTGTACCTTTCCGTGAATGTTCGTACGAAAACTCAAGTTAATGATCCTATGACGTTTACTTACAGTGGGCACATCCATGGAGATCTCGCTACCTTCATCTTCGGGCAACGCAGATAATGTTGCACGAAGACCCATTGTAGATTGCCTACGGACTGGGTTAGTCTCAACAGATTCCACTGGAGCACCCCTAACAAAAAATCGACAACATAATATAATGCTTAAGTACCTTTTTGTGTTTTTTTTTTTTATTTAAGACACCGTAGTTTCGAAGATCAGAGAGGAATGATCAATTAATTTCTGCCTATTTTCTATAATAACATCAAAACTATCTTGTTAAATTATTAAAAAAACTAGCTATGCGCTAGCGGTTTCGCCCGCGTGGGACAGAACCATTTATTTAAATATCGATTCATATCACGACACGGATATAATTACAATGACAAATTAAATAGTAAACAATGGTTACCACGGTAACGTTTTAATTCCCTATAGAAACTTACACTCCCATTTCATTCCTTTATTCACTGTTTTTCACGATGAAATATAGCCTATTTCTACCGCTGAAATATATGAAAAGTAGCTTCCCATAGGTGATTTTTAAAATCAGTCCAGTTGTTTTGGAGCCTATTCGATACAAACAAACAATCAAATATTTCTTCTTTATAATATTAAATATAGAAGTATAGATATACATATATGTCGCAACTTGAGCAAAGCACTCTCGCAACGTTTTAATAAATTATCCGAACCGAAAAAGTAAAGTGCTTCACTAGAGACGACGCAGTGATAGCAGACCCTTGGAATTTTGACGTTTAATTGTACGTGTTTTGAAAAGTGTTACCACAATACTTATATTCTTATTCCCTTAAAAGATTCAAAATCAACTCACATAGCTTCCATCTTCTTCTCAATTTTTTCAATACTATTGACGATCTGCACCAAATGCAAATCGTTTTTATGGTCTTTCGGATTAGTACAACACATGCAACGGAATAGACCAGAGACACCACACTCCATAGAGCCCTCGGTCTCATCAGATTTGCCGAGAAAATTCAATATGGTTTGGGTCTCCATCTTCTTTTTGGCTTCTTCAGCTTCTTTCTTTTCCTGTTCCATTTCCTAAAATACGGTCGAAAAGTTAACTTGAGAATCTTTTTCTTATACTACTTTAAATCTGTTGAGTTATGCCTTTATATTAGTGAAACACTCTTTAATATATTTATGCAGAGAATTCACTAGAAACAACCTGAGCTCAATAGCGCAGTGGTTAGCGCGCTCGGTCTAAGATACGGTTGTTAAGCAATTTTCTAACCTGATGTCTGACAAAATATTTATTATCTTTAGCTCTTCCGTGCTTCGGAAGGCATGTTTAGCCGTTGGTCCCGGCAGCATCTGCTGTCGTTAACACCCATCAATCCGCACTGAGTATTACCCATTCTCCCTATTCGATGAGTCGATTCCATCCTTTGGTAAGGCCCCAGCAGTGGGAAATCTGAGCACCCGCTCATGCCGTTCCTTACAAAATGACAAGAGCATGAGAGAAAAATACGATGCAAAAAAAAAGAATTAATTATTAATAATAATTACCTTCAACGTCTTCTTCTGCGCCACCTCGCGTGTTCCCCACGAAACATTATTCAAGTTGCACAAAGAGTAGATAATAAGCAACATGTACATACTGGGAATAGTTATATAGTATACGAGCAAATATAAGAGACAATTTATCTCTTGCGGGTGTAGAGCACCCGTTACGAAGAACGATCCAAATACCAATACTGTAAATATACTGGACGGCGCAAGCCAACCGTCTTCAATAATCTGCAATACTATTCCGACTATAACGAGCATCATGATCATTGCGTACGCGCAGGTTATCAAACTGGCTAAAAAGAGCTGAAAAAATGTAATGTTACAATTCAATTAGTTTTTTTACTTACCTACTACTTTTTCTCGAAACGCATTGTCGATTTTTGGACCCTAGACTTTTCAACAACTTATATCAGGCGTTATATTGCCGCCAATCTCACCATACGTCAATGTCAACTTTAAAAGTGAGAGTGACGGCCCACTGACAGATAGTGATTCCCATAATACGATCGATAAATATGTCATGGTAATCGATTTTTTTTACTCTTACAATTAGTTAATAACAGATCTTACTTCGTTAAAATTCTCGTATATTGGATAAAAATAAAAATAACATTAAGTATATTTTTAGCAATTAACTACTATCACATGTATTGAATACAATTAATCTTTAACTTGTAGACTTCGATATAAAAAAAATTACCAATTATATATCGTATTACGCTATTGTATAAATACACAGTAGACAATAAATGCTTCTCAGAGATGATTCAAACGTGCATTTTGGTCCTTTGTATCATTTCAAATCCTAGCTAAGAAAAATTTGGACTCAATATCAAATTATTGATAGATAGTAGTTAAGCTAATTGATCCAATCGATATATTTTTCAGCCACATAAGTATATCTCAATATCGAAAAATATATCTTAGATCAATTAGTTTACTTTCATCACCGGTTACACGTACCTGGGTTTCCGACTTGCAGGTCATGCAGACCACTACGAAAATAGCTATAGGAACGAGGTTTAGGAAGAGTGCGTTAATATTACTCATGCCGGTTATAGCGTTGATGGCGCCCACCATCATCAGGAATATAGTGCCCGGTCCCAACACAGTACCCACCATTAACATCGTCTGTAACAAAATATAACTTTCAAATATTACAAAAACCTGAAAAATCACCTTTATTACAAGACCATTAAGGAACTTTATGTTAAATGGAATAATATTTTAAGGGTTTCACGGAAACAAGTCTCGTAAGGTAACCGAGTCGTTTGAAAGAACACTATACTAATATTATAAAGCTGAAGAGTTCGTTTGTTTGGTTGAACGTCCTAATCTCAGGAACTACTGATTGGAAGTGAAAAGTCGTCAACCAAAAAAAGTTAAAAACAACTGCTTTAGAATATAATTCAATAAAATATGATATGAAATATCATTAGGAACTGCAAGAGACAAATTCTGATGACCCAGTCTCAAAAAACTTACCTGATACATGATGTAAGGCGTGGATATACTATCGTTGACTTTTACAGTGCGCTTGGAGTCGGAAAGTAAATCTAAGATATTCGCCATGGTGGAGGGAACCCATCGTCGTCGTTGATTAAAGAATTCGTCGAAGCGTTCGGGACAATGTGTATACGAGTCGGACGCCGCTGAATACTCAACACGATAACCACGTTGGAGTAGTAAAGTGCATAACCATCGGTCTTCACCTGAGATTAATCAGAGATATCAATTAGATATCAGCCTATCATTCGAATTGAAATGTCAAATTAGAAAAAAAGCATCATGCAATTGTGACGTTCTTAAATAAAAAATAATAATAATAACAATAAAGAACTGCGATTGCAAAGGTTAAGCAAATTTCGCAAGACTGTTCATCGAGTATGTGACTTAAAATTAATTTAAATCGAGCTTTTCCGTGCTACCGAAAGTAATTTGAACTGTTGGTCCTGGCTAGTCTACAATTGGCATCTAACAGTTCGTACAAAGCCTTGCGTATTACTGGGGCCATCTTTATATTATTTTGCAATATCATAATTTTAACCTTGATCGTATTGTACGTAATGCCGGGCTTCGCTAGGAGTGAGAGTGTATTTCTTCATTACGTTGTCGTCCATGAGAGCTTTTCCCCTGAACAGCGAGAAGCATCCAGGACTACAGAGTACACAGCCGATCATGTGCTCAGTGGCCTTTTGTAACCAATGTCCGATGGCGTACTCGAACTTCTGGTACCAAGCCATAAAACCTGTTAGACGTGAAAAAAATATTTTTACTAAAATTGCGCTGAGTAGGAAGTATAAAATATAGCACAAAGTTTGTATGGAGACGAAATGCAAAATGAAAATATTTTTTTGATAATAATTACTATGACGTCACATATCTTCGGAATTGTCTAGTGAGCATTTCGTCTATGATCGCAAACTACCCGCACTTCTCTTCTCTCAGTCTCTTTTATCGTAATACCCCGCGCCTCTATACCCCACAGGGGAGGACTCATTCTAACGGTCACAATGTATTTATTTTTATAAATTTCTATCGAATTAACCATTGTCGAATATTACTACGTCTAGCAATTACTCTTGGATTAACTCTTCGTATGCCCGTTTTACTAAACTTAGGAGCCGTCCAAAACTGACACCTAAATAATTGGCCATTGTCAAAGGTGAAAATATGGTTTATAAATACGCATAAGGTTAAGACATTCATTGTGCGGCGTCTAGCGCTGGGCATTTGCATAATGTGGCATATACATTTACTCTTTGGTTATAAAGGGTGTGTCAACAGATAAAATCAATTTAGAATTTATATATTAGAATTAAAATATAAACAATTAGATTTTTTTAATATTCGGTCTTTTTATAAATGAACTATGAAGACTGTGGTGCTCGTGTAAATACAAGACCACGTATATTTTTTCTTGTTTTATTACTTCAAAATATATATTTTTGTTATTGTCTCTTTACGAGTAAAGGCCACTAACACGACATTGACGAAATTGAGTAAACGCAGATATGCCATTTATTAAAAAAAAGAAGGGGGACTGAAGCATGCAAAATCATAGACAAACGTTATATAACTAAACAAGTGCTTAGAAAGGCCTTACGTTACAACTTTGGTAAAACGACAAATCTGCTTATGCTATTCATAATATTAAGTGATTTCTAGTTAAGCTCTGTTCTAGGGTACTGATAACGAGCACAAGTTTCAGAAACTAATAATAATACTATCCCGATTTACACTTTTATGAGTGCAGTGACAAGTTAACTTGCCTAAGTATAAGACGCGTTAAATTCTTTTTATCGTTTCAAATTGGTTTAAACCGCAATTTCTGTTTTTTTTTTAACTAAATATAGCTGTTTGTGGTACCAAAGAAAATCAAAAATGCCCTACTCATTTTTTCTCCTCGCTCACTTACCAGCGCCCACCGGATGAATACGGCCACAGGCAGCTCCCAACTTCTTATTCTTTTTCATTAAATCAATCAGCAAAGTAGCAGCACAAGGTTTGAAGTCAATGTCTCCATCAAGTGCCAGTAGGTAAGTGTTTTCCGCGATCACTTCCTTCCGATCCACGGATACAGGTAGACCCATTAAACGATGACCCAAGAAATAGTACATATACATAACCTGTAATATTAATATTTTGATGTAATTTTAATATGCAGCTTTTTGAAGTCAGGTTATAACAAAATTTTGAATATATTTTGAATTTTACCATCATTGTATTAAGGCTTACAATGAATTGTAGAAATCTGTCACTTTGATTGTATAGCGTGGTATTTTAATATAAATTAATATTTTCTTGCTGACCTTACCTGGGACCATCGTTTTCTATGCCTTATTTTCGACTTGTCTTTCAAGTGGCAGATCAGTTTATTCTTTCCCGGCATAGTCCACTCTAACTTGCCGCCGTATGGCGTAGGATATTTCTTAGGGGGCCTCAGTCTGACATGTGTCAAGTGGACCTCTGATGCTGCTTCATTCACCGAGTCCACTAGACATTTCACGAAACGGTTCACTTGAGAGTCTTCCATGCTGTGATCGGAAACTTCAAATGCATCGTCCATAAACATATGCGCTGAAAAAAATAATATTTTTTCTAAACATTTTTTTTAAAATGTAAGGTGAAACAAATTTATATCAGGTATTGTTTTGTAACAGCAATTACATGTACATTTAATTGGAAAAAATAATAATGATACTTCAAAAAATCCTAATAATATTGAGAATATACAAAAGTAATCTAGGTGGGTGGTTAATATATTGTCTATTTAAAATTTATTGAAAAGAACAGCAAATAGCGGACTTCTTGCCAAGGGCATTGTCTACCAGTCAAGGCGTAGGGAGCAAAAAAATCAAAAACAAGGTAATTCAAAAAACTACTTTTGAAGTTAGACGGAGTTCAGATAACAGAAAAAGTTTCTAAGTTTCATGAAAAAGTCATTGGGCGAAATCTGACCCGGTTAACTAAAGTTATCCTACAAAAACCAAATTAGTTTTAAATTGTTAAGTATTAACCAACATTTCATTACAAATAGTTACTTTTTCTTTAAACCATGGGAATAAAATTTAAAAAAATATATTAATTCGTAAATAAAACCATTTTAGTGAAGCATTAAGTGTGTAAAATAAACAAATTAAACGTTTGTGCAGTTTTACAATACTACACCTACATATTGGTGAACCCGACAAGACAGGGTAAAGAGAGTATCGACGATTATTACTGCTCTTGTATTCATGGCCGTCGCACCATTGGATGCTGCGCGCATATGCTAATAATATACTATGCTGGCTATATAGCCAGCATAGTATATTTTTTGTCTTGGGCCAGGCATCAAGAGCAAATAGATGCGCCTGCCGAGTTTTTAGATGACACAATTATTCCTGTAGATCTTGATCATATCGAATAAATCTTAAAATATTTTCTTTACCTACTTGTTTTATTTTTAATTGCTTAATTTTTTTAAATCATTGTCACTGACAAGAAACCGATGAAAATGTCCTAAACCTTACTATAATTAACACGTACGTGCACGCACGTTCAAAACTTAACACGTGGTGGCACATATTCACTCCATAGTTTGAGGACGTTTATACTTAATATCATATTTTTCTTTTTTAGCTTTTGACTTGAATCCCATTAACTACATTAATGTGACATATATATTCGTGAACTAGAGACGTTTATCTATACATCCTACCTATTTTTTTTCTGTAGGCCGTGGGTATAGATTTCATACTATGCTGCCCAATGACCTTTAAAACCTTTTCTAGAAAATGATCCAATCTGAAAAATATCGCCATCAATTGATACTTAGTTAGAAATTGAATGAAACCATGACATGCCGCCTTAACGCAAAATTTCTTATACCCTTTATAAATATATATCTTTGTTTACCTTCCAACTCATAGTAATCCGAATCGACAATGCCCAAGTATTTCTGCGCTACACGTCTTGCACTTTGATCTTCATCCAAACGGAATATAGACTTTAAGAAATCCATCATTTCTTCTTTTGTTTCATGCCACATGGTGGCACATACATAAATCCTAAAATATATAAATAATGCTGTTTATTCAAATATATGACTAGACACGTACCTACACTTTAAATGCGAAATAAATAGTTAATTTTTGTATTATTTGGTGTATATATTGAACCTCAGTTCAGTTATGAATTTATATCTTCTTACAAACTAGAAAATTATTCAGGAAAGCTCCAGATATCCTCAGATCATTTTTCTGGGGTATTTTAGTATAATTTTATGAAATTATCTGTCGCAATTATGCAGTACTAGTCGTTTCCTTTGATTTCCCTGCTTCCCCACAACGCATCTCCTGTTATATGTACTAATCTCGTCATTTGAGTATCGCTAGCAATGCCATTGCGTACGTCCGTCAGCTTGTACCGATTGCAATAGTCGATTTTATATTTTTTCGAGTTTTTTCTTTTGTGTTATAAAAGTTATTTTGATATCTTTACATGAAATGTCCAATTCTTCTTAAAGTTATGGAAAGTTAAGTTCGAATATAATTATTTATTTCTTTGTTGACGGTACTAGTAGATATGTCATTTAGAACGGTCGTTGCTGGCCAACTCGAAGCAATATAAAGCTCGAACAAATTATTTTATATTACCTGGATGTATAATCTGAGGGTTTAATGTCCTTCGATTTGTCTACGCTATTGATTGATACATTATCAATGCCCTCCACATTCTAAAAAGAAAAATACAATAATTTAATGCTAATAAATAAATTAATGCTAATCGAATTGATAGTCTAATGACATAAGACAGCGAGAAAAAGCAGCTCTTGCTGATTTTCTTGAGTTATTCTGAGTAGTAACAAGGTCAACTGCCGTAGATTTAAGAATCGCTGTAACAATTGTTCCACTTTCACCTCGAGACGCAATAAATGATATTTCTTTGATAAGGAATCAAAACTTATCAAATCGATACATAAACATAAAATCTATAGAAATCATTAATTTACCTAGGGATTATTTTTATCACTTGGGAAATATGTATATATCGACTTACTCTGAAAGATAGTGATCGCATGATAAAAACGCTTCCTATAGCATGTATTCGTATGACAAAATTAAAAGAATTGAAAAATCGAGCAAAAGCGACGCTCTTTTTTTTAATTGCACAATGAAGGAATATTCACTTTGATGAAAATTAATCTAAGTTTAAAAGAGTTCAATCGATTCTAATATTAAACTGATTAATTAATAAGTATAATAAAATTATTTGGTATTATTTGTATCTATGTGGGTGGATTTTAGGAAATTGAAAGATTACTTATTAAAAATATATAATGACTGACATTTCGAATAAAATAATACTGTGTATGATTTGACTTAAACGTTTCCATCTTCAAGAAGTTGAGAGTCAGAAGTCGGAATTGATTAATAATAAAAAGGATCTAATTGTTCTTTATCGCGATCTTTCGTCACGACATAAAACGATTAGGCCACAAAAATCATTAGTCACTAAGCAAACATTAAGGGAGTTAACTTAAAGAGTGTACTACTAAAACTACTTATTATATTTTTTAACATAGGTAAAAAGTTATTGAAGAATATGGAATGTTATCTTTAATTAAATGTAAACAAACTTTGAATAAAAACAACTTTCCGTTATGAATAACTTGGTTTTCTAAAAAAACGTATTATACGTAATGATTTCAATTGCGCAAGAAATGGTACAACATTCTGATAATCATAAAAAAAAACAATATTTAAAAGATACCTATCAACTTAATTACATAAGTATATAGTCTTAATATTTTCATGGAAAACGGATTTACTTGATTAAAACTTGCAATAACATTTATTATTAACGCCACTCACCTCTAGAACAATTTCTTTGTTATCGTCATGCGTACGATTCATCAGTAAACACTGATCAATAAGGGGACCACAGTACCATGGCTTCGCGAACAGTTTGTCGGTGGATGTTAAACGATCACATCGCGGCTGCCACGCATGAAAACATATCCACGCTTGTGACATTAGCCACAAGATCCATACCCAAGCCATTTCACGACCCACGTAGTCTCTAAGTAAATTCACTGTAAAAATGGTGCGATTAGAGAGACATTAAATTTTACCTTTAAGCTTAGAATATACTTAAACGTTTTCACTAACCTAACAAAAGACATAGTTTAACTAGGAAACACTTAATCTACGCATCACCTAAGCAAATTAATTTACATAATTCCAAATAAACATTTTTTTCTTTTATCCTTCGACACATTTGTGAGCTGTCATATTATAATACAAATGCCTAGCGCAAGGCGTTGCATAACGCATATCATAACTTTAGGCATTGCTTAATATCGTGAGGAGGTTCCTAGTAATTGATGAAATGAATTTTCACATTAGGCGATTCCTAAATATTTAGATGAAAAGTTTAGTGAAAACGGGTATTAAAGTATTGAAAAAATTACCTGGAGGTATATCAAAAAATAGATAGTCCGGTATTGTGTAACTGAATTCACAAGGATTTGCATTTCTCAATCCGCAGAAAACTATCAACAAATTTATAGTGAGCGGCCCAACAAGACTTAACGCAAAAGTGAAGCTGAAGTTTTGTATAAGAATTTTACATGCTAACTTCCCGCTTACGAAACAAACGTAAGCGGAAACTATTTGTATAAGAGAAACCCATAGTGGAGACGCCCATTCTGCTGACACGTCTAAAGACTTGCCGGACACTATGTATTCAAGAAGTCCATCATATGCGTCTTGAATTACAACTTGAACCTGAAACAATATTTAAAATCAGTTTTTCATTATTCGATTATATGAAGAACTGCATAGCGTAATTATCTGTGATTGCAAGAGTTAAGCAACTTTGCATACACATATCTTTAAATGGTTAACCAAAAATGTATTATCTCGGAGTCCTAGATGCTTTAAAAGACAATCAGTTAGTCCAGCTGAACCTACCATCAGTAGATATCAGGAATTATGGCCCGAAAATGATTCAGTTGACTGACATATTTTCATATTTTGATTAATTTTGTATTCACAATGCCATACTGAAAATTATTATTAATACAAAATGCTTAAAAAATCCACTTAATCTCCGGATAGCGAAAGGTCGTTGGTTCGATTCCCGTCTCAGGGTGCCAGGGACCAAGTGGATTTTAAAGCATTTTGTATTAATAATATTTTCATATTATATTATAAATATGTGTGTTTATTTCAAGTTAATGCTGATGATTTGTACTTACTTCGTGGACGGTATAATAACGTTCACCAAAAGCAGTAGAAGCAAGAGTGAAGAAACTGAACGGGTCATCTCCTTGAAAATGCAATGAGATCAATATGCATGCCATGAATACTAATATCTTCCAAATTGAAGTAAACCTGGATGTATAGTACCGTGACGTCTTGAGAGCGTCGCGGGTTGAAGCCAGCCACAATAAATACCCTTTGAAAGATAAAAATATATAATATATACTTGTTTTTTTTTGTATTTTGAGAAAAAAACGGGAATTTCATTAAGCTCCTGCAGAGCGTCCGCCTAACACCTCTAGCTATAACTCTAGTCATAGCTTTATGAAAGATTTCATTCATAAATACGTTAATGTTGTTTTATAATGATATTATTATTATTTATTCAAACATTTTCGGTTAATTCAATTTATTTAATCTCAATATAATTCAGAAAACTATAACCAAAACTATTGATTAAATATGTAAATAATAAAACAAAAACATTTTAAATATATGTATATATATAAAAGTATTTCATTGATAACATCAATAAAACGTTTTTAAGATAAGAGTTTAGGCAGTCGATCTGCAGGTAGGAACAGTATGGCTTAAACATCAGATATACCAAATTTTGTGATATTTTGGGCACAAAATCTAAAAAGCATGATCAAATTAAGTTATATTTTATGATATGATGAAAAACCTACCTTGCGTTTGTTTTTCAGTAGGTCCAATGAAGTTTTCCCACCAGCCTAATGATATCAATACACTCGACACACAAATCAAATACAAAATAACGCTTCCTTCAAGTAGAGGCCAGACTACGAAAGCCGTAGCCTGAGCAGTAATAGCGAGTATATCTAAAATGAGTATTATGTAGTATCGGGCGTCGGTGCGGTCTCTTGTCAGGGCATTTAACACGGCGGGCACGAAGCACATGGCGTTCATCAACATCGCACCCTTAACAACATCCAATTCGGGAAGAATAAAAATCACTAATATTGCAAGACCGATAGCTTGCAGCGTTTCTATAAAGAAAGTCTGAAAAAAGGGCCCGAAACAGTTAAAGAAAAGAGCATACAAAAAGAAAATGCAAATAAAACTCTACAGTAATTAGTAACTGTTACTCACTATAAAGTAAATGATCTTGCTTTCTGGTTTATTAGCGAACTTAAAAAAGGAGATCCTACAAGATCTAAGGAATATACCCATTTCTGGAAAACCGAAAACTATGAGTGCCGCCCATAACCATGAGATCCGCTCCTCTAGACTATGTACTGTAATGAACTGTGCATCTATAGCTGTGGACAAAGGAGCAATATACATATTTAAAGTTTGATAATATGTTAATAATTTCTTGTATTCTTTACATACATTAAACAAAATCTGTTCAAACGAACAAATATGACTTATATAAGCTAGTATGCTTTATTTGAATAAAATCACTCATGGTTTTTGAGACACAAAAAAAATCTCTTAGGTTATAAATCTGCATTGTCTTTTTGATAAATGTCATAAAGTAAACATGGTAGCCTTTCTTACCTAATAGTCTGTTACAATGTGGAATTTGTCGACCTTTCTTCAGCTGGGATGTGATAAAGAGTAGTGTTCCTTTAGCAACCACAGCGGACCCCAAAACTACCGCGAATACTACTATGTATGCTAAAAGCTTAAGAATCTGAAGACTGGTATCAATCCATCTTTTCTCGACCATCGAACCACTCTCTTTCTTGATAGGGATCTCTCGAAATAAATTCCATCCCTTCGTTTCTTGGACAGTCCTTTCACTAAAAATATTACGGTTTTTAAAAATCGTATTATTTTTTGCATTCACAGTAGGCATTTAATAGAAAAAAAACCATTTCGATTTATCATTATTCATATTTATAGCTTCTGCATGTATAAGTATTCATATGACTTGATTATTAAAAGGAACATCAAAATTTCTATTGGTGATGTCGCTTTAAACTATGGTAATTTTAATGAACATTTATGCAGTCGCACAAACGTCCTTGGTTTAATGACGCCTTTAAGCTGTAATGAATGTCAAATTTGTATCGGTAATGTTGCTTTTATCTAATGACAATTTTAATGGACATTTGTGCAACGAGCTTTGAAAAATACATTAATACCAGATACCCAAACCCAATACAAGATTGGAAAGCTTTACTACCTGTACTATCTTCACTGCGTGGACGCAATGAAGAATGTAGGTACTTGGCAACATGGAAATATTAATATACAGGGTCATTTGTAAAGCACTAGAGCAACAACATTAAAACTTTTTTTATTTTTACTATACTTTCTTCTCACTTATAGATCTATATTTTATTCACAAACGAAAGGACGATGAAACGGTGGCGCTCTGAGTAGCTAGTGTAAATGTCACATAAACGAGTTCACCAGTGAGCGCGTTAAGAATTTGTATGGAGATTTATAGTTCATAAATAACAGAGATTTTTATGTCTTGCTCTCTGACGTAGTTTTAGTGATGCGCATAGAGTTATGAATAAAAGCAAAATGTAACGAATTTTTTTAGTCCTATAAATAAACGTTGTTATTTATAAGGCTAGTTCGAAGATGTTGTTGATTATACAAATAACCCTGTATATTTGTCTACAGATCATTAAAACTATCCTGCGGATCTAATTTGTTATAAAAACAGCCTCAAACTCGACGTCGAGCGCGAAGTCCAATCAAACCCATTTCAAAAAGATTTGAGATTTTTTACTTAATTAAAGGTCTATGCGGTTAGTGCTGCGTTTTTAATATAATTGCATAGCTGTTACACTACATCGGATACATTAGTATAAACCAGATCACAATAATGGTTACATAATAATACTTAATAAAATTGTTATCAAGGAACTACATAGCGCAGTGGTCGGTCATAGGATGGGCGACCAAAAAATTATTATCTTGAGCTACTCCGTGCTTCGGAAGGCACGTTAAGCCGTTGGTCCCGGCTGCAATTGCGGTCATTAATACCCTCCTACCCGCATTGGGCCAGAGTGGAGGGTCATGGCCCATCCTCCTTAACCATCCATAAGAAAGGCCTTAGCCCCTGCAGTGGGGACGTAAAAGAACTGATGATGATGATGATGATCACACACCAATCATCATTGGGCCCACGCCGTGGAAGGTTATGGCCCATTTTCCCTATTCGATTTCATTAATATGGAAGGTCTATACATAACAGCGGTAGGTATTAAAATTATACCAAAATGGAAAATAAGACCTACTTAAGTTCATCGAAATCATCGTAGAGTGTATTGTCATAATCTGAGAAGTCGTCTTCTTCCGGAACTTTTTTAAATCCTGATGACATCGTATTTATTTTTCCTGTAATTTAAATATACTTAGGATAAATGTAGTAAAACATATATAATAAATCGAAAACCTAAAATTAAGAGATATGGTACATTTTCGCTAAAACCCAGTAGTTATACATCCTGCGTTGTCCCCCTAATGCTACAATAATGGTCATATTGTATACAAAAACCTCGATTAGTGATAATGTCTGCCTAAATGCGGGCCCATTGACAGTATTAAATCTCCTGTACCTACACCGCATCGTCCAATAAAATTGCGCCCTAATTCTATATTAATTAATGAAAAACTTGGATTTTCTCCTGATTTCTTCAGATATATACACCAAGAAGACAATATATGAAAACCGTATCGCGACGATCTGTTTGTTGATTTTTATGAATTCTAGCAATAATAGAAAGCAACTATACCGAGCCTGTTCAATTTTTGCAAAATAAAAACTTTTTAAGCGTTTTAAATGAGTGTTCATAAAAAATACATACCTCATACAACTTTATACCTGGTTAGCACAAAACACATCATAAAATTAAAAACATTAATTTATTTTTAAAACGCACTTCATATGACGATAAACAAGCTGCTTCGGTACTGCTTTGGTAAATTGGTACTATATCGCTTATATCAAACGACCACCTTGATAATTATTCATATCAATTGTACGTCATTAAGATAAAATATTGATTAAGTACCTAAATACATTAGAGTATCGACATTTCCTTTATATTAAGACTATCACCTTGATCTTGATTTCAATTTATGAAAATTGTTCGTTAATATATTTATTCCTCCAGGCGTATCAACATTCAATATTTTTCTACAAGAACGTCTCTTAACCTCTTCACGTCTGCTATTTGGTCTTATAAAATAATCTTCCCCTGCCATATTCAGCCAATCAATGCCAAACCTTGTAAGCAACCCTTTTTAATTTTTTGTCACAAGGTATACCTTATCTTACACCACATTCTTCCCTAATCACACTGTTACGACATATATCAATCTAAGTCTAGTCTTGCTAGACACCTAGCTGAGCATGAAGGAGTACAAAGCTCCATTCGCCACATTTAAAGCAACTGTTTTTCTTTATATATCACTGTCATTCTCTCGTAAATACACAAATGTTCTAGCTCCACATTCTTATTTCTAATGGCGCTGATTTAAAGAGGCAGTTGTAAATATCAATTATGGTAAGTTAAAATTATAAATGGCACGTTTAATAACTAGTTCAGAAGTTAAAACTAAGCAGTAAAGTAAACAAAAATGAGAAAAAGACAATGAAATAGTTCAGTGAATATATAATTGAGCAGGAAAATAATTAAATGGGCGTTAATAAATGATTGAACGAGCGGTTACGTATGGGGCAGTAATAAATCGGAACTGTCGGTAAGAAATCTCATTCTAAGCAATTCTATAAACAATGAAGTGGCAAAATAAAAAAAAAAGTAATAAAAAATTAAATTAATTTTGCTTTGACTGAAGGAATTAAATAAAACAAATTGTATTGTATAATAAGAGCAGGTTTGGCTTTCGACGGTCTGCCTCTCTTCCTTGTCCGAGTGGAATGTTTTTAGCTTCAACTGGAGGGACGACGTACTTCAAGCGTATGGACAAGCCAATTATCTGTTTACATATATATTTTATAAAAGTTTGGGCAAGTAGGGGAGAATGAGGTAAGACGGGTAGCGGGTAAGACGGGTACCCAGCGAAATTCACAGTTCAAAGTAACCAATCACACTCATTTATTCATCGTTCGATGCGCCACCATGATACTTAACAGTCATCCAGCGATTGATGGTTCGCAAGTGCACACATATCGAAAACAGTCAAAAAAAGTATTTTACTGCAAATTGCTTATCATATTTTCTTCGGGTTTGACACGTGACTGTGGTTTGTTCAATAACGCTAGCTGGTGACGTACTATTCTATAATAAAGTAGGCATTGTGTTTCCTTAAGATTGTTGACTGGTTTTTTTTTTTGTTTTTATTGCTAGAAAATGGCTCTGTAGGTAAGATGGGGTAACTCTTGCCCCCCAATGAGAAAAATGCTGTTCTTGTTTGTTTTCCGTAAAAATAGCCGAACAACGAAATTTAAACGCTAAACGACGAAGAGTCTCATCATCAGAAGATGAAAGTGAAGAAGAGGGGGACAGGCTATGCGTGTATTGTTCTGAAGTAGTAGTCCAGCCTTCAATGGAAACAGAATATATTGTTCGGAAGTATATTCTGTTTCCATTGAAGGGTGGATATCAAGCTCAGTATGTGGAAGATGGTCTCATAATAGCTGCGCAGGAATAGATAATGATGTTGATGAAGCCATGCACGTCTGCGAATTCTGCCAGCCCTAAGTAATCAACTTTCTCTGGGATCATTTTCATCACCCCATCTTACCTCAAGGGGGTACCCCATCTTACCAGCACCATGGGGCAAGACGGAGCAAAACACCTTTTTTTTATTCATATTTTTTTCTCTAAAATATGTAACTAAAAGTTGTTACTGACACCAAATATTGGAATAGTAATAATAATTCGTTATTTAAAAAATAAATATGATTATTTCATTGTGTATTTTTTATTTTATCGACCTTCAAAGCTTAAGTACCCCATCTTGCCACCCTCTCCCCTACATGTTCCTTGAGTCCATTCTTCTTTATTTTGCGGCAATATAACTTCCCATGTATAAAAAAATTGCTCTTTAAATTCATCAAAATTTTCTGGCGGTTTTTCAATTATTGCGCATTCTTATGCTTCTGCAACAAGTACTTGATAATGCGTCAAATTATCATTATCATTATTAGGTATGATTACAATATCTTTCGGTAGTTTGGCCCAATTATATAAATCTGTCGTCTTTCAAAGTTTTTTCCGGCAATATTGCAAAATAGTTTTCAGAAGGGTTCTGTGTATACTACAGGGACCACTCGTTCATCATTTCTTCCGCCACCCGCACTAATAAGCTCCGCCCAACTAACTAACATTTAGCTCACTTTTCAATGAATTTGAGTTCTATGATCTGCCGAACTATTTATCGAACCGCTCATTCCACCAATTTTACCGCTCATTCAGTTGTTGGACTGCTCAATTATTTTTAGAATTGACATTGTATGATAAAATAAGCGACTAATTGGTTTTTATTAGGTACTGTTTGTTTTACTGTCGCAATAATTAATCAACTGCCATTAAATTAAATAACTGCTCAATATGTTTTTCAACTGATCATAATAACATCTTGAATATTTATTAACAGCTCAAAAAAATTGTTCCCATTTTTAATCCAATTCCAATTCCAACCAAAGGTTGTGTGGTTACTGACTTTATATAAGTACATCTTTAGAGGCGTCATCATCATACATCAGCAAAGCAGCTGTAGAAAGGTGGATCACGACCGCCATAGCCGAGTGGTTAGGATAGGAAATGCATATACAGAAAATTGCCCGTACTTAAAAGCTAATGAAGGAGAAGAGACGATTACTAAATGAAGTAAAGAGGGAGAACAATTTGGTAAATGATAAGTTTCCTTTAAAGGAAGGATATGCAAATTTCAGGTGTTTACTATTGAATGTAATTTCTTAGAACGCAGGTCATCTTTAATAAGGCAAGTATTGAAATCACCTATAATTAAAGTGAGAGTGTAAAAAGGGACAAAATGTTTAAGTAGTTCGAATTACTCGATTATAAAGCTCGTTGGCCTAGTGGATAAGCGCCGCGGCCCGCGATCTTTGTTGTTAAGCAACTTTCGCCAGGGTCGCTCACGGTATGGGCATGTCGTTAGTCCCAGCTGCATTTGCAGTCGTTAATACCCTCCATTGGGCCAGCGTGCAGTCATGGCCTATTCTTTTTAACCATCAACAGGGCTAATGCTGATGATAAATGGAAATAAAATCAATGCGGTACAAAGTTCGCAGGATTAACTTGTTACAAACAAAACCAATCCACTTCAACGGAAGGACACCTTAAAACCATTCAGTCTAGCTATTACTTACATTGCATGATAAATAGTAGTCTATTTAGTTTTATCTTTTATTACAATATTAGCCTGACATTTTGTTAATCTTCGCGGATTTCATTATCTGCCAACATAAACAGCGGCGTATTTATTCGCTCTGATTGAAAATGAAAATATCTACCCGGGGAAAAACCTTCTTTATGACTAGCTGAAGTGGATATAATTTTGTTACATGTAATTATTAAAGAATAAAATATAAACATGGTTATACTCGATTTTTTATTAAGTCGAATAGCACGATTAGTACTTGTACCTATTATAATACTGACAAGAATGAGATAAAGGATCCTACTATATTTAATTAATCTACATAGAAAAGACGTAAATAACCTATTCATATCAATAAATTATAAAGATATGTTAAAATAAAGATTATCTAGTATTAATAACGCGGTATACATGCCAAAATACAGATTTATAATTATGTTGAGCAGACTACAGGCCGTAACGAGTCATCGCTCAATTTTACAAGATATTTAAAAGAATTTGGCGTTTTTTGGCAAAATCCATTGCTATAAACGTGAAACTATGATATCTAGCAACTTCTACACCCAGTCAGTATCCGCGAGACCTGCTGTGTACAGCCCGCACACAAATTCACGTGTACAAACGGCAACAAAGCTCGCAAAATCACCACTCTACGCCTATTTCGCCCCTCTACGGAGCTACGTACATGAATTTGTGTGCGGCCGGTACACAGCAGGTCTTGCGGATACTGACTGGGTGTGGAAGTTGCAAAATATCATGGTTTCAAGGGTTGTTTTACAAGATAATAAAGCACCCGACATGATTGTCACTTCCTGGTGGCAGATTTAAAAGAAGTAATATATGCACTAAGCAGCGCTGCTCAATTTAGGTACATGCCATAGCAAATAAAAGTGCTGAGCACTTTTATTTCAATAAAGACATTAAAGACTACCTTTGAAACCACTGTATCAACCACAATTACAGCAACACAATGCTAATATATAATGATGTTGCAATAACCTGCATATTTAAAGGAGTGACAGTCAGTTGCACGAACATCCATTAGTGTTTAATGACGCCTTTAAGCTCTAATGAATGTCAAATTTGTATCGGTAATGTCTCTTTAAACTAATGAAAAATTCAATGGACGTTTGTGCAACTGGCTGTGAGTAGAGTACAACTGCTGTAGACAGAAAAATACCAAGCTTTTCTTACCCTTAATCGCAAATGTCTAACGCAGACTTGGAACAATCTCGCGCTATAGCCTGATACAAATACCAACTTTCAGTATGGAGATCAAACATTAAAACATAACAGCTGTTTTTTTTTTATTATGAGGGTATCATAATTATATTTCCTTTTTAATATATGAATTAATCCAACGACATTTTCTTTCGGATTATTAGTAAAAAAAAAAATCTCTTTAATTTCTCAATGGCATGATAAGCAAAATACATATAAAGTGACTTCTACGTATTTTCACGCTGTTACTTATGTTACTTCCATGAAATACATAAATTTTCCTAATATTATATTTGATTTTTATATAACACGGACAATAAATATTTAAAAAATATTTGTATAAAAAATCAATAATATTAACAATGAAATACGACTTCAATCGATATTATTATATTGCGTTAAGTATATTTTGTTTTGAATCCAATGAAAATGTCCATGGGAATATTGCATTCCAATAGCCTTATAATTATTTATGAAGCAAAAATATAACACGCAATATATGCAGCAGACTTTTGAGTTAAACACTAGTGATACTAAAAATCATTAAAATCCACTCAGAAATACTTTAAATAAAAGTTTTATCATATTAAACAACTAAAAAAAAAAGTTTAAAATAAAGTTTAAAAGAAAAACTATTTTCTGTAAATTTTTTAGTTGGATTTCAGTAATTATCATTGTCGCTATGGTAAATAAAACCAAAATTTGTGAAAAAAGTCGTGTTAGTAATTTTGCGAGAAGGAAATAAAGGTTTTTTGACTTGATTTTTTTTATAGCTTCCGTAGCTAAAATGAGATAGATTCTTGAATATAGTCTCTTGTAATTGGCTCACAAACTCGATTAAAAATATTTCAGGCTTATATCGAATTATTTCCGTTTTTCTCGTATTTGTATCAGGCTACTAGCCGTCACGCAGCATAGTTCAAGGTCTTTTTTATCGACTTTTTTTACTATATGACTTACTCGCTTACCCGCCCTTAAATATTGCTGGAAATTGCCATCCTTAATATATACATACATATTTATTCTAAATTCAACATATATAAAAAACACATTAACTATGTAAGTAGCGCAACTTGGTTGGAGTCAAAACATTATCGAAGTCAATAGTAACCTGTTGTTATACTTAACTAATAAATACTTATAATGTACATAATTATATTGGTAAATAAGGTATAAAAATATTTAGTTTTCATGTTCCGCATTTGTCGTTTTATTCATACTGTAGTCTTGTTCTTTAGCATAATCTAAGGGTTCCTCGTGTTTGGAGTAGTTTCCCATCGCCACTTGCGCAATAGTGTCTACAATGCTGGGTGTATTTTGATACAAATGACTAGAATGAGGCATTGATGATGGCAACTCTTCAGATTTAGAAATTTTTAAAGGTTGATTATAATCCGACATATAATCAGGCATAGTAGTTTTTTTTGTCAATTCTAACATTTGATTCAGAAAAGAGTCTGCACCTACTCGAGCTGGAATACTGAAATCTGTAGCTTGCATGTCTGTTGTATCAGATTTTGATGACTCAGTTTTTGATAAACTAGATTCCGGAAGCTTCATCGCTTCTATTGTAGAACTTTCCGATTTACCTTTGCTGATACTTCCGAAATCCGGTGGTAAATAGTCTTTACTAGATTTTAATAAATCATGGGGAGATTTCATTAGTACACTTTGATCCAACCCTACTTTAGAAGATATCGGACTACTACTACTTGAAAGTGGTTTTATCAAAGATTCCTGCATTTTCATGAGTGATGGGGATAGAAACATGTTGTTAGCTGCCAGAGTAGATTTAGACATGGGGTCTGGAATACCTAAAATGCCAGCACTTGAATATTTGCTAGCGGAAAAAAGTGCATTTGCAATATCAGCAGAGCTCATCATAAGGTTCGACGCAATACTAGCAGGAATGGGAGCACCGCTGCTTGTGCTTGTAGATGTACTGGTTACTGGCTTGTCATAACCAATGCTACTGGTAAGATTCTGTAAAGATGCTGCATATGATGGTGGATCAGGAAGTTTAGTACCAGTCAAACTTGCCGCCAGACTAGATGACATAGAGGGAGAGAGACCTGTTAACATACTATTGGCTGCAGCTAAACTTTCTAAAGAAGAAGCTCCCAAAGGCAAAGGCATATTGGTAGAACCCAATCCTAGAGCCATGCTTGTCAACATATCTAAACCAGATGGATATGATGAGGACAAAGACGAAGACGATGATTTGGATGATTTTGTTGAAGACGGCAAAACCGGTATGTTTAAAGGAGGCGTTTCAAATTTATGTGGCGAACTTGATCCAATGCCAGAGGAAACATTTATAGGCGGGACTCCAGCAGGTCGACTTACCATCTGTTGTAGCGTACTTACAGAAGGGAAGTTCGGTATAGATGTTGACTGACTTGACTTAGATACTGGTATTGGCTGAGGAACAGCTAAAAGTGCGTCCAGATCCATTTTGTCATCTTGCTCAGAAGAACAACCTAACTCATCGCGAATAAAATGCCAAAGTAGACCATCACTTTGTTCTCTTGGAAATTTTGAACTCAATGTGCACTTTAGTTTATCCAAATAAGTTATGTCAGGTTTATAGTTATCTTTGAAATTTACAAACGTGTCGTCGGAGAAGTTAAAGTAGTATTTGATACTCCTTTTTATCTGTTCCATAGCATGAGTTGATAAGTGACTGTCGCTTATCATATTATACTGTAAAAGTAACGGTCGCGGATATTCTGTAGGTCTTTGTTCTGGAGGAGGCATTACCCAGAAGAAGGTAAGAGATGATTCCAAAACAGGACTCTCGGGATTATAGGGAGCTGAAATGAAAAATTTTAACAATTTTAGTAAAATTAAAAACTATATGTTAGATTTTTAATGTTTTAAAGTATCAACACGTTTCATGTGGTCGAAAATATGTGAATTTTGTGCTAATATCAAGAAAATATAAAATTATGTAATAATTCTACTTACAGCAAATAACACCAATACAAGGAATGTAAGATATTTCTGAAGGACCTCTCATCTTTATTTGATACTCCAACTGATTATCGCAGTCTCTAAGACTAGGCATTGCAGGATTTGTAGGATGAGAATGATACCACCCCAGAAGAGTTAGCCCTAGTTTTTCTATCTCCATTTGAATTTCAAGTTCAACTAACACCCTTGGTCTTGGATCACTTTTACTCACAAGGCAGGGAAAAGCATGTGTTATAAGGAGATCTGAAAAGATTGTGTTTTATACTTTTAATTCGTTGTATTAATAAATAAATGTAATAGGGATGATGACATTTTATTTTTATTTGTCCGTCAGGTAGATTGTAAACAAATATTAAACAGATTTTTTTATAAAGTTTACGGAGATACATGACTTTAAACGTCTCATGACGTTACGCTTTTGTACATTTTCTACAAAACCGAGAAGTAACTGGCCCCTTATCTATTTCTTATTAAATTGAAGTAAAAAATAGGCACCTAATATTTTTCTGTTGTCTAATTGAAGGACTAAATTGAATTTCTTTTTTTTTTACTCAGACATCATCCCAATTACTTTTCAATATTTGTTGTATCACTTACTATGACTATTTAAGTCCCAAGTTCCAGCCAAATATCCATAAACCTCTTCTTTCTTCAAATGACAGTGTATATCAAGTATGAGGCAAGCATTTGATGTTACTGTTACTAAAAATGGTTGCACTTTACTTACTGAAGAAAATGAAACGGCTTCTATTAGCATATTAGCATCACTAAAAAAAACACTTACATTATAATAATAGCATTAATCCAGACTAAACCTGCCCTGGTTTAAGCCTTAATTAATTTAAACACTTACACCCTGTTTCTGATTAGTATATCTCAAACTATACTTAAAAGTCACTCAAACTGGTTTTCATTTCAGATTTTTTTATGACCAGTTGAAAGCAGTTTAACAAAACTACGACTATTTGCCTTGTGAAACATAAAAAAGGTTTTGAGAATAATCAGTTGAAATTTTGTACTATTCACAATTTAGAAACCGGCCCTTATATATTTATATATTTTTTGTCTATAAAATAACAAATGGCAGGCCTTATGAAAAAAAGGCATTTTTTACCAGTCAAACCAGTGAAAATGTACAATAAATTCAAAAGGCAATATCAGTAAAATAATACGATAACCTAGTTTACCTACCTAGTATGATACCAACATATATTACAATTAATAACAAAATACAACTAAACCCCATTATAGGAATGACAATTTGGTAGCTGGATGTTTTTAGAGATGTGTAAAAATAAAATAAATCAATAATAAATTTGTACTTATATAAAACTAATTATCAATATCGACATCTGTAAAAAAATTTAAAGAGGAAATATTTCATTGTTTGTTTGTTTGCATCAAAACTCCAAAACTACTGGACTAATTTTAAAAATTCTTTCACCTATGGGTTACATCATATGGGGTTGATAGAGGCTATAATTTACATGTGCGAAGCCGCGATACAACAGCTAGTCATAGATATTTTTTACTCACCTACGCTAATGGGGTATAATTATTAAATTAATTTGGTAGTAGTACCATAGCAAACACATATTTAATCTAACAACACCTTGTAAAAAAATTATGGGATTATAATGGCTGTAATATAATTATACATTTGCAATTTTGCTTAAACTGTTTGAAACAAGAATGTTTTGAACCTATAATAGGAAATTAAGACTTACTGTTGCATCATCCTATTAGGAACAGTGTTATGTTTCATCACAATCCTTTGTGGAGGAGGTTCTGGAGGGCATTCCACTTCCATTTCAGCCTCTTCTAAAAACAACAAATACTACTTAAAGATAGATTACAATTAGTAATAGACGGGTTCAACCAGTGCAGAGATGAGTATGAGATGGCCCTTAGGCTCATTTCTGGAGTGGAACAGCAACTACAGGAGGTTAATGATTGCATATATAAACTAGAATTTGATCAAACAAAGGTTATGGCCCCTCAGAACCAGAGTCTACATGATGACTTGGTTGGTTGTGCCGCCAGTCTTGTTTCTGCTTCACTTAATATTAACCCAGTGACAATTGGTTTGACTACAGAAGATTCTATTGAGTGTTCTGTAAAAAGAGGTGTTGTTAAGTGTAGTAGGAATAGATTGAGAAAATATAAAAAACTAAAAAGGTATGTTAATAATACAAAAAAAAAACTATTTAATATACAAAAATCAATTCACAAAAATTTCAAGTTCTCCAAGGACCGCATACAATTGATAGAAAAATTAGAAACTTGCCATTCTATAATCATTGAAAATATGACAACCTACAAAGAGAATATTGACATGATAATAAGTAAAATAAATAACCGCCAAAAATCTTTAGTAAAAATGACTATAAATTATCACTCCAAAAAAGAGATAGGGGAGTATATACTGGCCTTGAAATGCTTATTGATTACTTCTGTATCGGAGGGTACACAAATAGATTCTTTCTCCTTGGTGTTGGGCCTGGATTCCAGGGAGAAGCAACATAAACAATCAGTATATGAGCCTTTAAACTCACACACAATAAATCTTTTAAGAATAATAATATTTTTATTCTACAAAAGAGAGCTGTCCTCTCTATATATAATTTACAGTCTAGAGAATCTCTTAGAGAAATATTTAAAGAAATGAATATTTTGACTGTTGCCTCTCAATACATAACAATACATGAATATATTATGTCCGCAAGAAAAAAATTTTGAATGACTCAAAAGTGCTTGTAATAAGTCTATAGCTAATAAGCCTGTAGCCTATAATAAGCTAAACTGATTAAAGATATTTTCATTTCATTTCATATGTATTATATATGATCATGAGGAAAAAAATTTATGCTTTTTTTTAATAGATATACAGCCAGTTGCACAAACATTCATTAAAATTATCATTAGTTTAAAGCAATATCACCAATAAAAAAATTACATTCATTAGAGCTTAAAGGCATCATTAATACTTAATGGATGTTTGTGCAACTGAATGATTTAAAAAGAAACTAAGATTATAGAAAATAATATTTTTATAATTTCGAGCAACTTCAATTACATGACAAAATAATTTTTGTTTTAGATCTCTGATAGTTTTTTTTAGGTAAAAGACACCTATTTTCACATGAAACCAGGCAAGCATGTCTTAGTATTTGTTATTTATATTAATACTTACCATCAGTATGCATATTCTCTCTTTGTATTTGTTTCTTTCTTAGATATGTTGCCTTTATTGTATCCAACTTCTTTCCTCTATATTTGACAGAAGCCCAGCCACAGCCTGACCTTTTGTCAGGATTAATAATTCTTTTGCAATGTATAGCCCATGCAGATGGAGAACAAAATATTGTTTCTGTCTCATGAGATTTTATTTTGCCATCTGGTTGCAAGTCTCCAACAAACTTTTGGCCCTAATATGAGAAACTCTTTTAAATGAAAATATTATGTTACAAAAACAAATGAGTACAAGAATAACAGGTATGGGCAAATTATTTTATAATAAAATTATAATCAGAGGTCGGAATTAGGTAGAGTTATTTATGTACTTGCATCGAAATGTTGATAATAATGTGGACCTTCCCGGAATTTCTTTATTTCTTCTTTCTTTCTTTCATTGATGTAAGTTGGGCAATGTCGTGCGTGCAGTAGTTTAAATTAAAAAATCATGGGATTTTTTCTGCTCTTTAAAATTTTTCTCGGGATTTAAGGCATATCCACTTTATTCTTTCGCTGTATGAAATCAGTGTAAGTACATGAAAAACTCTACCTAATTCCAACCACTGGTTATAATATAAATAAAAGTTTATTGTATAAACAGAGAATCTTTTTTTGGAAACTTTTAGCTGCAAAGTTAGATCAAATTAAATTTAGATAATTATTTTGCTAATCTGATACTAAAATAATAAAAAAGTTTTCAAAACTATAAAATCAAGTATTTACCAAATATTCAATAGTCATAGCTCCTATTCCTGGTTCCAACATCTTATCCTCCAATAACATTTGTAATGTGACACCTCTACCTGGCATAGACTTGCTGCCAGGCTGAGCTTCAGACTCCTGTCAATGAGAAAGTTTATTCAGTAACAATACAGAAAAGAATATGAACTCCTACCACTGCTATTATTGCTATTATTTTATATATGAGCTGATTTATAGGAAATAAGTTTAACCTCATCTGAGAATTCTTCATTGCCACTAATATCTTCTTTATCGTCTTCAGTAGACTCTTTCTGCGATTCATTGGGTTTATCAATAGCAATATCTTTACTTGACGGTTTTGCAGTTAAAACTGGTGCGTCGGATGAGGAATTGGTATTAGCTCCCAACATTAAGGCAGCAGCCAGGTGTGAAGTTTGTAAATCCATTTCTTAAGACAGTACGGCGTTTTAAAATGCCTAAACGAATTGTTTTGTTTGTTAATTATTAATCGTGTTGAATTTCTAAGATTTTTTCGAAACAAAATTGTATTCCTCTTCTTCTTCTTTTAAATTAATGGCGTTGCCCTTGTGGATTTCGCCAGAATTCAGTGTTCCACTCAGTTTATTTCATATTTTAGTATTTTATGAACTCTGCTTTTTATAACAGTGTATTATTTATTTAAAGCTAGCTAGACGCAATAATATACTCTACGGCTAGACGTGACATACGTCCACAGACTTAGTAGGTATCAGACGACCAACTTCCTAACAAAAAATTTCTTCGTAGAGCGTGATTGGGAGCCAGTGACAGCATCATTCGTTTTAAATATATAGATCTACTATCGGCAAAGGCATTTAGCTATACAGCCCTGTTTTGGGTAGGTACCTAGCCGTCTTCCTAGTTTCCACATTATTTTTACTTTAATTTAAATTCCTTTTTTGTTTTAATACAACAATAACAATAAAGCAGACTGATAAGTCTAGCTTATTATTATTGTTGTATTAAAACAAAAAAGGAAAAACGAACACGTAAATGAAACACACATTTTTCCAATATTATTTATTGAATAATTTATTTTTTTAACTTATTATATTTTACACAGCTTTCTTCTGCATTCTCGGCAATTCTTAGCTACATTTTTTTAGTGGCACAACTTTATGAAACTTTTCAAGGTAATCACATTTTTTTTAAAGAGGGCACTGATATTTTTTTATACACTTATTTAAGTTTTTCTAAAATTTCAATTGCCTTTGGCCAGAAAGAATGATGCTCTTTTCCTTTATGCTTTTTTTGTTTATCGATGCTCCATTGACACTATCAAATAATTGGTCAAAGAAACAACTTCATCTGTATTTCTTAATGTTGTGCTGACGGGCCTGCCATCCACATAAGTTGCTGCAAATTAAAATATTCATACAATAATTGTATGAAACTTGATTCAAAACTATTAACTGTTAGTAAATTTCATCTAATACTCACAGAAATTTGCAGTGTAAGACAAAGCTGCAGACATATTTTTACATAATTTTTTACCTGCAAAAAGAGATATTATATTTAAAATTATCTTCATTAGAGAATCATTATTGTAATTTAAGTGTAAACTATATTAACTACTTGTTACATAATTAAAAATACAGGTCACTGAATCAACACTTGCTCTGATAGAGAATATAGAAGCTGAATACAAATTATTTCTTTTATTTATACTAATTTAAGTTATACTAATATAATAACCAATGCATTACCTTCATCATTTTAATTTTATCAGGTATAACTCATTAGTCATTTAATTTATGACGTAGCCCAGCTTAATTAGCAGCCAAATAATATCATGCCATTTTGCAAGTTTAATATCCAATATTAAATTTTTTGTTAAAAAATTGTTTTGATGCATTTTATCAAGTATGCAGAATCATAATGTTCAAATCCACCCCACATATTTTAAGAATGCCAACTGAAACAAAAATTTAAGAACTTCTTAAAACATAGATAACAATATAAAAATAGGAACCTTCACTACTTTCATTAAATCTATTAGTTTTCTTTCATATAAATATAATTCTCTGTACCAACCTGTGATTTCAATTTAAAATTTGATCACACTAAGTGTCTTCTTTTAGATTTTTGAGTGCTGATTGGAAAGCTGAGCCTTGGTCATATATTATTGCGATGGGATTAAGGTCCAATTCAACAACTTTTTCTACTACTAACTTTTATTATACGAAAGTGCTGTTTCTAATGACATCTCATCAAATATAATGGAGCATATTTTTTGGAGTTTCATTTGTCCAACTGAAAAAATAAATTCAAATAGGTAGGTACATATTATTATTTGGTAGTAATACAAAAAATTATAAAAGTATAATGAAAAATCTTATATAGAATATATTTACCTCTTACATGAAGCCTGGTTCTATGATCGATTTTCTAATCATAGTATTCAGTGTAGTTTTGGATGATAAAATAAAAAATTTTGCTTAAAAATCAATAACACTTTGGACTCTGCTTTGATATTGATAAAGCAATTATCTTTTCTTCGGTAGTGAATCACCTCTCATGTTTATTTTTAGAGCACATGCTCACTTGCATTTCAAAAACGTTTTTTGCAACTGTGTTCATTTTTTGTCAGAACTTTTCAAATGATAACTTTTTACAAAACTTAACGGTATTTAAGTATTCTTAACTTTATTATGAAAGTTCAACTACGTCTTTGGCTTGTTATATTCTTCATAAATTCTCTGGTATAAAGGTGACAATTGGCTTTATTTGGTAATAAGCCTTTTGTTTGGGTACATTTCACAGGGTCTGTAACATCAAAAGTATTCAGTGAATTTCTCTATTAGAACTACTATTTGATTGAAATAAAGATACACTAAAGAAAGAGACAGGTCTTACCAGATAATTTAGTTTGTGTCATATTTTAATCTCCAGAGCAAGCAACTAATTGAGTAAACTCAGTGGCTGCAGACACGAGTCTCAATTTGTTCTTTTAAAATTACACCACCTATGAAATCAATATTATGTGTGTAAGATTAAAAAACAGGATATAATCTTAGATGATATTAGAAATATGTTATTTATATTATCAATTTATTCTCTGATCAAAATCACTTCTAGCGTGCCCGCTAGAATTAAGTAACTTGAATGTCATTTTTCTTTATGTGTGTAAGAAAGAGAGATCTGCTAGACTTTTTTAAAGCAAAAATCTATATTAAAATACACCAAAACTGCAGCATGAACTTTGTTATCTAAATAAAATAAATTAAAAACAAACCTCTGTTCAGTTCCACTTTCTAATATGTGTAGTCAACATGATTTTTTCTTGCATAGCTGTGTTCCCAAGTGAATATAATTTCTGTAATAACAAAAAAATGTAATGAAGAATAGCAGTATTCCAAAACACAACATAAAGTGAAGATACATATCATTTTAATTACATTATCTAAAGGTAATAGCAGATTAAACCAGCCTTACCAGTATTGCTTGAAGAGGGTAGGCTGATTGAGAGCCCATCATCATTAAACAATGACGGATATGCGTCACCCAAGAGTCGTGATTTTGGAGTAATGAATCTTGGTACGTGTTTGCTACAAATGACACTTCTGCCTGTATTCAAATTTTCAGTATCACACACAGCACTAAGACATTGTAACCACTTGGAGAATCTTTTCTCGTTCACTAGAATCTTACAAAGAATAGCGTCCTGTTCGTACTTTAACAATGCGTGTAACACAACCATAACACAACACACCAATTTCCTAGGCATCTTCTACAAAGAAAAATACTTCGAAAAAAGGAGAGTTTATATTACAAATAAAGCGAAGAGGGTAAGCACAAACGAAACTTTACTCAATCACTCGTAATTCCCTGATATGTAGGTACATACTTTAGTCTTCTTCTTCTTTTATTAATGGCATATCTGCGCATTTCACACAATTTTGCCAATGTGAATGAATTAATGTGAATTAATTCCAACATGTAAAATGAAAATGAAATGAATTAAAGACTAATTAAAACATTAGTATCTTTACTCTTTGTTGTAATGACAGTTTCTGTCAGATGTCATGTCTTCATCTACTGACAGGGGTGAGGGGCGTGTGGAAATGTCATACATCACTGGACCCCTACGCGATTGGTTTCTTGTACGGAGTTGACGGGCCGTGCATACGTCTAGCTCAAAAAATTTCTTTTAGTGGTGTGCGGAATCAATTACCATTTATCGAATTTCAAAAGAATCGTTTCTATCGAGAATTATCCTAATCGAAAATTAACCATCGATTATTACAAACAACAGGGCTCAACAACTCTTAGCGGATCGCAAGCGTGAATATTATTAGTAGATTTTGTATTACTTATTATGGTAACCCTGGAATACACGCTCGGACAAAAATAATATTTTTTACATTTTTGTCTGTCTGTTTATCCCAGCTAATCTCTGAAACGGCTGGATCGATTTTGACGGGACTTTCACTGGTAGATAGTTTATGTGATAAGAAATTACTACGGCTACTTTCCACGTGAATGAAATCGCGGGTACAGCTACTTTAATTTTACGAAGGTAATTTTTTTTTTTTTTGGTACTATATTCCGATAAAATCTAACCACTATAAAGAAAATTATCATAGCATCTAGACCCAATTCTCTCTTTCATCAAAGTTTCAGGCCAGAGAGTACCCCTTTTTTAGATAATTAAGTTAATAAAATTGGTATGTTTGGCCTAGAAACACTAATATGCACAGCCCGTAGACAGAGAAAGCAATAGACTAATGGAATGTTCTATCTCATTTATCGGGAAATGAAGTGACCTATTACAATTTTCATTAGTTAAAGTGAGATAAAAACATTATTTGTTGTCCTTATCGATGTGGCCGGTTTTTTTGTTTGGCACCAGGCTTGTTTGGCACCAAAACGTCTAAATTTTAGGCATAGAAATTGTTGGATTCAAATAATATAGAAAAAATTTGGAAAGAAGTGTATTTAAACAATATTTTATATGATGTATAGAGTTTATAATTAAGAAACGTTACTTGCAAATTAAAATAATGGTTAAGTGCAGTGTTATATCTTGCAAAAATAGATCCGAAAGGAATATTGTAGGTGTATCATATTTCAGGTAAGTTAGAAGCGTTTTGTTAATTTCTTCGTCAAGGTAAAATTTCTCAATGCCATAACCGATGTGAATTTTATAAAATACGACACATAACAAGCTAAAAATATTATTAAATAAGTTGAATAAGAATATAACCTCAAATCATTAAGGCTGGCATCTAAGTACTTAAAATCTCCCCTCAAAGTGCTTTTAAATTAAATTATCAATATTCTGTTAAACAAATATCAAAATGTTTGAAACTCAACTATTTTGTAAGTACATAGAACTACAAAATGCGATTTAAAAAAGCAATTGGGCAGTTTTTAAACTTCTGATTAAAATAAATCCAAGTTAACCTAAAATATATTAGCATTTAAAGCCTCTCAGTAAAGTTTTGCATGATTATATTAAAATACCGCTTAATTTACTGTAATGTCATTTTCTAGACTTAATTGAACATGATTTCTGTATTTAGAATCACTAAAAAATGTGCTATGTATTTGGTTAGAAATGTTTGAATTT